AGGGGCGAGATCCGTGTATGTTTCCAATTGACGGGAAAATAACCTGATTAGAAAGAAACTTGGAAGAGCATGGACAGCTGTTTACGTAATTTTTGGACCGAGGCGCCATGCCAAATATGCCTTCTAACTCTGGTCGCTTGTTCGGGCAGAGAAAAGGTGAAGTACTCCCACAACAGTACGTCGTGATCGCTTCGACCTGGGGAGGTAGACACTGCACATTATCAATGCTGTCCAGCGACTTCGTAAGTACCACATCTAGACAATTTGACTGTTGGCCTCTGCGCATCCTTGCCGGAAATAAGACATGCAGAGTGAAAAGTAATGTTAGCGTCATGTCTAGCAAACGTCGGTCGAAAGTATGGTCTCGGCCAGATGCGTAAGCTGAACTCCAGTCAACAAGAAGTGCATTGAAGCTCACCATGATTTGGACTTCGGGCCAAACATAGAACCTATCCAGGTCCACAATCAGACGGATGTCAGCCGTGGGATTACTTCTCGGCAGTCGGTAAACCGTCCGGACGTCGAGACTTGGTGAACACAGTGCTTTTATAGTTAGGCAAATTGCCTTAGAAGTGTAAGTAAATTTGTCTGTTTTGTCTAAGACTATAAGCTCACGTTTTACATACGTGAATACGCCTCCTCCCTGACGTCCTGGCCTCTGTCTTCTAATCAGCTGGTACCCTGGTATGGTTAACCCATGACTGTCCACGTGTTGGGACAACCGAGTTTCTGACAGTGAGATTACATCCGGAGATAGATCAGACAGACGGATCTTTAGCTCGTCGACTTTCGATAACGTGCTCTGCACATTTGTAAATAGGAATTTTGACGTGCGATTTATGACCGTCAGAGAAGTGATCTCGACTCGTCTAGGATTTTCACTTACTTGGTCAACTGCGCAATCATCCGGATTGGGCCCGTCCAAAGAAAAAATGGTGAGCGCTGCCTGAATTGGTTGTTGTAGATAACCAAATTTCGTTTTCCTTCACTGAGTCTCTTCTTCAGCTCTAGGACTAGATGACAGCGTTTCAGCCTCTCTGTTGACGCGTAATCCAGTTGAAAAAACGCCGGGATTAGTGCCCTTTATTCTAAAGCGCCGCGACGGAACATACCTGACTTGATCCTTACAGGCCAACACAACTATGAGAGGCAAGGGACTTGTTGGTGTTGGCTGATTGTTTGCCCGTTTTCAGAGACGGGAGGCTTTAAGCATTTTAGTTGTTTCATTTTCAAGATATTATTGAGCATGCCTTGAAAAGGTGTTAGATCTTCTGAAACCCGCTCTTTTGGAGAGTTAGCGTTTGATTCAGGGAACCTCCGAATAACGAGACATTGCTCTCTCGAGATATAGTTCGTATTTTTTCTTGATGTATCGAGTTCTAGGATGTGTGGTTCTCTAAGGATCTTAGACGGCGATGGCGAAACACATTTTCTATCGCGGCTTCGATGCTCGACGCCTGTTTTTACGGACTTGGAAGTTGTTGGCACGGACGATAGTAAATAAATAAATAAATAAAGTAATTTTATTAACGACCTTTCGGGGTCGCATCAAAGCAAGCAACAATACATTTTCACATGAATTTTAGACGAGGTAGACAGAATTTGCGTAAAATGCCGTAAAGAAAAGTGATGAGCAAGCAGTGAAAAAACTCCATTATAGAATTAACAAAATGGTTGGATTATCATTAAAGAAGAAGAAAACTGTCGCTCATGAGAAGATCAAAATGCGGGCAGGACCAATTTGCATGTGGCGGTATATCACGGATTATAATCGAACATCGTCAGGGCAGAAATAAACGTCAGCCATGAGGGGTAAGTATCCAGGTCAGACGGGACTGACCTGCATGCGGTTTTATATACGGGATTCAAAACAGACATCGCCAGGCCGGAATATATACACCGGACGAGACTATTTGGGTCAAAGTGGCGAGACGACAGGAACCCAGACGCGATCGGTCACAGTCCGCTTCAAGTCTAGCCGGGGAGGGGGTAAGGCAAATACGACCAAACTACGAGTAGACGGCGAATACAGAGGGTTCCGCCAGTAGCGTCAACAGACTGCTTAAGGCCGAAATGAGGGAAATAGCATCAAGAACAGCGAAAATCGTCGCCATGGGGGAGGAGTGGTAGCAGTGGATTTAGTTACCAGTTTAACACAGGGGTTGAAAAAATATAAATGTAGGTTTCAAATTCATCAATCACTGAATCCCAGGAGGACCCTTCACGAAGTCAAGAATCTGAGTGTTCGGGAATGAGACCATTAAAAGCGCCTTTATACTTTCCGGTGTAAGGTGTTTGCGAAATATTTGACTTTAACACCAACAACTTAGACGATGGCCTAAGTTCTGGCGGAAGACTATTCCTAAGGAAGACATATTTGGAAGCAAAGAAGAGGGAGCGCATAGATGTAGTGCAAAGAGGCGGCAGAATCACCATGCAGGAGTTGCGCGTGGCATACGACCGAGCTCTCGGAGTGAGAGTGTCAATGAGCGGAAGACTAGAGCTAGAGTTGATGCGAAAAAGGAAGCCAAGACCAGATTCGAGTCTTCTAACCCACGAAAACTTAATGTTCGCCAGCTGAAATCTCTGAGTATAAGAAATACCGGACAAAGCTTGAAAGAACAGTTTCCGGGTGAAAACCCTCTGAACATCTTCGATTTTGTTACGGTCACTGGCATTCACTAAACCAAAGAAAGGACAGCAGTATTCGAGGACTGGGTGAAAAAACATTTCATAGAGCCTTAGATTCATTTCCGGGAGGAAAAAAATATGCGATATGAATCCACATGTCTGCGCGGCTTTGACAGAGATTCTATCTGCATGAGGTTATAAAGCAAGTGTATTTGTAAAACTTACACCTAGGTCCTTTTTGGTGAAGCATTCTGAGAGTGGGTTATTCTGAAAAATTATGGCACTAGGAAGTTTGGCAGGACCAAAAGACATGAAACTACACTTGGATGATGAAAACTCCATCTGCCATGTCGAACCCCATCTGCCTAAGCGTAGTAAATCGACATTAATTTTGTCAACACAAACGTTTGCGGTGTCCTTAGAGTATGAGTAAACACACTTGAGGTCATCGGCATAAGTAAAAGTTTGTGAATTTTCGAGTTCAGTCGAAATACCGTTGTTGTAAGGAAGGAAGAGTAGCGGACCCAGGACCGTGCCTTGAAGTACGCCACTCGTGATCGAGTGAGGTGTCGAGTAGCTGTAACCGACCATGACTTTCTGATATCATTTGGATAGACAGGACCTGATGAAGACGTCTATGGGACCCCTTGTCAAAGGCTTTGCTAAGATCAAAGTAGATAACTATCACTGACTGCTGTTCATTACGAAAAGAAGTGATTAGATAAAGAAATGCCAAGTGGCAAGTTTCACAGGATTGATCACGTAGAAACCCATGCTGATTTGTTTTCAGCATCCGATTATCCAGACAGAAGTCAGGAATTTCATTGAAAATTATCTTTTCAAGAAATTTTGCTAGAGACAGGGTCTTGTTCACATCTCGATAGTTATTAACACCGGACCAAGATCCAGACTTGAAGACAGAAATGATAGCTGATGTCTTCCATGATTCTGGAAGGCATTCTTTTGAGATATAAATTGAGAATAAATGACTGAGCAATATGGGAAGGTCGGAGGCTGGTTTAATAATTGAATTTGGAATTCCGTCCGTTCCTGATCATTGTGAGTTTTTCAAACGACTTATGCTTTTTTAAAAATATCTAAAGGAAACATCGATTGCGCTCAGTGTCCTATCTAAAAGTGAACGGATGAAAGGGACTGGTTCGGACTCAGTATTAAGGTGTTTTGCAAAGAAAGCACTAGACACCTCCGCCCTTTCATTGATGAGGAATATTTCGTTATCGTTTAGCAGGGATGGAAGTTCGTGACTCCGCTTAGAGGAGCACCGATGTCGGAAGATGTTAACAAGGGATTTGGCAGGGTTCAGATCACTGAAAGCAAGTGATTCTCTTTGCCTGTCGCGCGCTTGGCGCATCCTTGAGGCCATTATAAAAACCTCTGCGATTAATAATGGCAGAATAGAGACGCGAATAAACACTAAAGTCTCGTGATCAAGCTGCCTCAAAGAAGAGAGGCCAAAGCTAAACGTAAATGTGCCGGTGGTCTGATTGAGAAAAACAACGGTTTTATTTCACAATGTGCTCCTGGTATATATTCATCTTTTACAGTTGCTACTACAGACAAATAGGGTAAGCTGCTTGGGAGACAAACGAGCGATACTACCAGCCCTTAGCAAATGCCCAAATAAGCTGGCAACCAGAAACCAACACACACTCGAATTTGCTCAACTCGAAGATAATTTCAAAGTCAGGCCTTTGTCAAAGTTCTTCAAGTTCCACGAACGGCAACACATACACGACCCCAAAAACTACCAAAATCCAAACGTCAGTCTTTATATTGTAAATATCGTTCTATTCTCTAACTTTTGCTATTATTCTACCTTGAAAATCAGATTTTTTAACTTAAAACAAACCCCCAAATTCTCGCTGTATTGACGAAGCAGACCCAAAAAATGAATGAAGTCGAAGGGCAGCCGAAATGTGTGAGATCATCAATGCTTTTTATAGAACAAGTAGACAAATTAGTCACAAGGACCTCTTTGACAGTGACAACGTATTAATTCATTGTTGCCTACCGCTTGCCTTTTAAAAAAAGACCAGCACCGTTCGGACTTTTATAAACTACGGCTGCGTAGATAACGACTTAATAAATAACTATATTAGATCTTTGGATTGGTGTGGCCTCCTCACTTGTAGCGATGCAACCATTTTTCGTGATGTCATGTCCAATGTATCCAAGGACATTCTAGAGTTTGTGACGCGTAGATATCTCAAGCCTTATTCTTCAGATTCCTTTGTTCCTCATTTTCTTTACAACAGACTAAAAAGTTGAGGCGACAGCTGCGTGACCCATCCACTAGTTCCTTATCAGTTCATCTTAGAATCACAGAGATTTTTGAGATGGCCTCAAGGATGCGCCAAGCGCGCGACAGGCGAAGAAAATCAATTGATCTCAGTGGTTCGAACCCTGGCAAATCCGTCGCTAACATCTTCCGTCATCGGTCCTCCTCTAAGCGTGGTCACGAACTTACACCCCTGCTAAATGATAACAAAGTCTTTCTCACCAGTGACACTGACAAGGCGGAGTTGTTTAGTACTTTCTTTGCAAAACACCTTGCTACCGAGTCCGATCCGGTCCCTTTCTTTCGATCACTTTCAGATAGGACACTTAGTACAATTGATGTTTCCTCAGATCTCATTAAGAAACATATAAGCCGTTTGAAATACTCACACTGCTCAGGAACGGACGGGATTCCGAATTCGATTATTAAACAAGCGTCCGATTTTCCCATATTGCTTAGTCATTTATTCTCAGTTTTTATTTCAAAAGGATTCTTTCCTGAAACATGGGAAACGTCATTTATCATTCCCGCCTTCACGTCAGGATCTCGGTCCGATGTTAACAACTATCGGGGCGTGCACAAAACGCCGTCTCTAGCAAAGCTTCTTGAAAGGATTATTTTCAATGAAATTCTTCACTTCTGTCTAGCTAATAGGATTCTGAGCTCTAGTCAGCATGGATTTTTACCTGAACGATCCTGCGAAACATGTCACTTGGCTTTTCTTAATCTAATCACTTCTCTTCGTAATGAGCGGCAGTAAGTGGTAGTTATTTACTGTGATCTTAGCAAAGCCTTTGACAAGGTGCCCCATAGACGTCTTTCAGTAAAATTGGAAGCTCTCGGCATCCGGCCGCCTCTACTCGAATTCATCAGGTCCTGTCTATCCAAATGATATCAGAAAGTCATGGTCGGTTACAGCTACTCGACACCTCACTCGATCACGAGTGGCGTACTTCAAGGCACGGTCCTGGGTCCGCTACTCTTCCTTCCTTACAACAACGGTATTTCGACTGAACTCGAAAATTCACAAACTTTTACTTATGCCGATGACCTCAAGTGTGTTTACTCATACTCTAAGGACACCGCAAACGTTTGTGTTGACAAAATTAATGTCGATTTACTACGCTTAGGCAGATGGGGTTCGACATGGCAGATGGAGTTTTCATCATCCAAGTGTAGTTTCATGTCTTTTGGTCCTGCCAAACTTCCTAGTGCCATAATTTTTCAGAATAACCCACTCTCAGAATGCTTCACCAAAAAGGACCTAGGTGTAAGTTTTACAAATACACTTGCTTTATAACCTCATGCAGATAGAATCTCTGTCAAAGCCGCGCAGACATGTGGATTCATATCGCATATTTTTTTCCTCCCGGAAATGAATCTAAGGCTCTATGAAATGTTTTTTCACCCAGTCCTCGAATACTGCTGTCCTTTCTTTGGTTTAGTGAATGCCAGTGACCGTAACAAAATCGAAGATGTTCAGAGGGTTTTCACCCGGAAACTGTTCTTTCAAGCTTTGTCCGGTATTTCTTATACTCAGAGATTTCAGCTGGCGAACATTAAGTTTTCGTGGGTTAGAAGACTCGAATCTGGTCTTGGCTTCCTTTTTCGCATCAACTCTAGCTCTAGTCTTCCGCTCATTGACACTCTCACTCCGAGAGCTCGGTCGTATGCCACGCGCAACTCCTGCATGGTGATTCTGCCGCCTCTTTGCACTACATCTATGCGCTCCCTCTTCTTTGCTTCCAAATATGTCTTCCTTAGGAATAGTCTTCCGCCAGAACTTAGGCCATCGTCTAAGTTGTTGGTGTTAAAGTCAAATATTTCGCAAACACCTTACACCGGAAAGTATAAAGGCGCTTTTAATGGTCTCATTCCCGAACACTCAGATTCTTGACTTCGTGAAGGGTCCTCCTGGGATTTAGTGGTATATTAAGGGATAACTCTTAATTATATCATTAGAAACCCCTATCTACTGCTATCACTCCTCCCCATAGCGACAATTTTCGCGGTTTTTGATGTCATCTCCCGCATTCCGACCTCATGCGGTCTGTCGACGCTCACGGCGGAACCCTCAGTATTCACCGTCTACTAGAAGTTTGGTCGTACCTCACTTCCCCACTGCTGGGCTGAGCTCGAAGTGTGCTGTGGCCGGTCGCATCTGGGTTCCTCTCGTCTGGCCTCTTTGACGCGATTAGTCTCATGCGGCGTATCAATCCGGCCCAGACGATGTCAATTTTGAATCCCGTAAACAATACAACTTGCAGGCCAGTCCTGTCTGACCCGCATACGTACCCCCCAAGGCTGACATTTATTTCTACCCTGACGATGACCGACAACAATCCGTTATATACCGCACCTACAGGCCAGTCCTGCTCGCTTTTTTCTGTTTTTATTTTTATGGAGGGGTTTTTTTTCTCCTGTAAAAGTAATCCAATAATTTTTAACTTTTTGTATGGAGTTTTTTTCACCCCTCACTAATCATGTTTCTCAACTGACTACCAATTCAGAAACTATGAATTGCATTTTGTAAAGATTCGGCCTGCCTCGTCTAAAACTCACGTGTAGATTTATTTTAAATTGCTTTGATTGGACCCCGACGGGTCATTAATAAAAATTATCTATCTATTTTTAGAAGATTAATCGACATCAGGTTTGAGGCAAATACTCCCGCATAGGCGTGTTCAAGGGACTGCAGTGTCGCATGCCTAGCTCTCATTATTGGCTAACTTTGACAGTCTCAATGTTTAGTAAAATACAGAGCACATTGGCAACCAATTAAAAAGCCAAACTTCAAAAAGAGTCATGTCATCCCCCCTAGATGTTTAAGGATTGTTCGGGAGGTAATAACGTCAAGGAACGACCATAAGAGGCTTTAAGTAGCCCGACGCAGTCTCCCCCGTCTAATACTGGCCAACTACAACACAGTTTTTAGAGGAATTCCCCACTTCGGACAGCGGCAATAGACCCACACCTCTAACCGGACATGATCAGTTCTACCACTTGCGTATGGTCTTATTAGTTTGTAGAGTCCAAGTAACTTCCAGCCTCAAAATCCGGCTTATAGTTGAAATTGCGGAAACCTGTACAACTACAAAATTAATAGACTCACAGTTGGCGCATTCGCGATGCACGCGAATCCAAACTGAAGCAGAAGTTGACCACATTGAGCGAAAAGAATGCAAGCCTCTGTCATGATAATGTTGTGCACAACCTATCTTCCAAACAACTGACAGCAGAGCAGATAAAAGTCCTGAGCCATGATGCCTGCTTCAATACGACGGACGCCCAACCAATTGACTTCATCGCAGTTGCGGAATCTGTCATTTGTGAAGCCCCAATTACTGAGGAAAACAGAAATCTGCTACGACAGCAAATATCCTCCAGACTCATGTCCCACAAGAAACGTAATATGCTCTCAAAAGCAGAAAACGAAGCACTTCGAACTTTGAAGGCCGACAAAAGCATTATCATACTCACGGCCGATAAAGGACGATCGACGGTCGTACTGAACAAGGAGGACTACGTCAACAAAGTCGAGGCCCTTTTGGGCGATAGAACCGCCTACATTCCTTGTGAAGGTGATATGACGAAGACTCTAATGAGCAAAATCAACAAGGACCTGGCAAATCTTCGGAAGTCAAAAGCGATAACACAGTTTGACTGGCAGAGGATGAAACCAAAGGATTCCGCGATCGTGAGATTCTATGGTCTACCCAAGGTCCACAAATCAGGAACCAACCTACGACCGATCGCTTCTCTAAGAGGCACCCCAACGTTTGGCCTGGCCAAGTGGCTGTTCCAGCGCCTGAAATTTCTAACTCAAGGTTCTGAAACAACCATCCACTCAGCAGAACAATTCCTTGAGAAACTGCAAGGTATCAGACTTACAGATGACGAAGTGTTGGTATCTTTCGACGTGATATCACTCTTCACTTCCATCCCACAACATCTCGCGGTTGAAACTGTGCAAACCTTGCTGGAGCAACGTTATAACGAGACGGACAACAAACTTAAGATAAAACACCTTGTCGATCTCCTGCAACACTGCTTGAAGACCTTCTTCACCTTCAATGGAACCACATACGAACAAGTTAAAGGTACACCGATGGGGTCGCCGTTATCCAGCTTGATTGCTGAGGCAGTGTTATAACGACTGGAGGCACTGGCTTTTGACCACTACCGACCACGACTGTGGGTACGGTATGTTGATGACACATTCGTCATCATCAATCGGGACAGGATTGGAGAATTCGCGCAACATCTGAACTCGATTTTCCCGGATATCCAGTTCACGATGGAAGAGGAAAAAGATGGCCAGTTGCCGTTTCTCGACGTACTAGTCCAGAGAAAAGGCGATGGGGTACTAAAAACAACAGTTTACCGGAAGGCGACGAATACCTCTCGTATTCTGAGTTTTCTCAGCAACCACCCCCTTTCGCACAAACGCAGCTGCGTAAGAACACTCTACCGGCCTATAGAAACCCATTGCACGGAGCCAGCCGATAAGAAGGCCGAGGCGCAGTTCCTGAGGAAACTCTTCATCATGAACGGCTACCCTGGGAAGTTCGCCGAAAAATGCAGGCGAGAAATCCGGGGAAGAAAACCGAAGGGGCAGCCGAAACCGAAGTGCTGGCGCGCAGTGCCGTACATAGCTGGTTTGTCAGAAGAATTCGCCAGACTGGTGAGCGAATTTGGGATCGGCGTCGCGCACAGACCTGAAGCAACAATCCGCCGGCAACTCATGCAGCCCAAGGACCCGATTCCCATAGATCAGAAATCGGGAGTCATTTACCGGATAGACTGCAATTGCGGTCAGGCCAGTTATGTTGGTGAAACCGGCAAACAGGTCCGCACGAGATTGCACGAGCATGAATTGGCCGTGAGACGGAACGACAAACTCTCCTTGGTAGCCACCCACGCCTCCTCGCCAGGGCACGCCTTTGACTTCGAGAGCGTGAGAATACTGGGGCAGTCAGACAACCGAGTTGCTCGCCTGCTGCAGGAAGCGTGGAACTCAACTGAGGACAAGATCAATAGACATATCGATCTGCCAATCGCTTATCAAGCACTGCGTGAACAAATCAGCAGCGCAGCTGGAGGTCATTCCCGGCAGAGATGAGCTAAATATGCGATGAGTTGTACAGTATTTTTATTCCTTGACGATGGGCTCGCGTGAGAGTTCGAAACGTCGGACAAATAAACCACTGGTCCCAGCGATCTCCTTTCCGTCTTCTTCTATGCAATTACCTGGGCCGCGCGTATTCTCTATCATTCGATATATATATATATATATATATATATATATATATATATATACATACATTTTGCTCTCAAAAAGATTCTTAACGAAGCACTTCCGATGGATGTCGTGTCCTTTGCGTTGATTGTCACCTAAACCTCACACCCACTTGATCTTCTAGAAACCACAGACACATGAAAGACATTCTGACCATTATAGCCAGTGCTTCAAGTCCGTTCGCACCCAGCCGCCATTGCGAAAATGAACTAGTTGTCCATGGTGCAAGTTGTGCTCGCTGCAATATCGTCGTGCAGTTGGTGTTAACAAGTATTCTCACCAGCAGTGCCAGTCGGTTAGTTTGCCAAACTCAGCGCAAAGTGCGTTCTTGCGCATGGACTTTGTGCCACTCCAACCAACTGATGAATACAAGAAGTGTTGATCGGTTTTATGGCGTCCACGCAACAGGCGCTAAACTACTCACGCCTAAGCGGTGATTAATAGGTGTGTAAGGGGGACAGAAGACGACAGGGGTAAGCAGCCGCGCTCTTCGGACTTGTCAGTCACTGGGCCTGTTCGCAGCTGGGGTCATCTTTATTTTTCAATTCTACCGGTATATTCTAGGTAGTAAAAGAGAGTGGATTATACCCTGCACAAGTCCGCTTCACTATCAACGCATGCACAAATGATTTACACTGTGTTTCATTAGGAAGTTGATCCCCATCAACGCTGGTGACGGTCGAACTCTTATTTTTAAATCATAAATGCTCCCGTTTTGAGCTGCACCTCAATGTTAGCCATCTTAAATCACTTTAATTTGGAAATAAGGTCTTTGTCCTCGAGCTTCTCATTAACACCAATCTTGTCATCCGTATAGAGAAAAAGCTTAATACAGTTACCCGAGTTCGTTGCCGATCTAGTGAAACCAAAATCTTTAACCACTACGGGTCTGTCTTCCTTTTCCAATACTTTGAATCAACCAACACTTTATAAAGGTCGTATTGCTTTAGAAGGAGGGCTGGGAGCACGCATTTGTTCGGATAGGTGGGTCTTCAGTTAGCTATAAACATTTACAGAGGGCCAAAAATCTGTTTTTACATTCTCTTGTACTCTACTATAGCCAGGTTTTAAATTTATTGTTGCAAAACATATTCCCCAACTTTGGAAGACGACAATTTACTATTTAGGTCTGGCAGATCTAAATACGAAATTGCAGTCTTCGAATTTAGTCATAACATGAAGTACTGACAGCATTTTTTATCGAAATAGTGCCATTGTGATAAAGAATGCTGTCAGTACTTCATTTCAAGCCAAACTGCTAAGACTTATCACCTCTAATTGCAGGTTACACCACATATTATAATCAGAAATAGCCACTGTTTTGCTACCTTGACATGACGCGGTTGCACAATACAACCGCATTTCTGTCCGGAAAGTTCGTTATACCCCGATAACAGACTGTTTATCAGAAGACTAATTTCATCGAAATTTGAGTTTCTTTTGATGAATTGAAGAGCTTGTTGGTTTGAAAGCTAATGAGAGCCCAAATTCTCCAACTGTTGTTTAGCACCGAAAGTTGATGTCTTCTCAAACCGCGGCTAAAGTGAAGGTAATGTTCTATTTTCAGAAAATGCCAACTTTTCATTATTATGATGGTAAGAATATCCTTACCATCCTAATCGATAACTATTAACTACTTGATCACTTTCATGCACACTATCGTTTAATATTATATATATATATATACCCGCATCCCTCCTCACACGCTAATGGTCCGCCCGTCAATGTTTGTCCTGTATCGTCTACTAGTCTAGTGTGTCTGTCTCACTCTCTCTTTTCTTTTCATTTCGTCTTACGACGGGTTGGTGCCACCAATTCGAAAATTCACGAATACAACTCGATTTTTTCCGAAGAACCTCCTATATATATATATATATATATGTAATACTGAAACATGTATTGTCCACTTTTAGGATAAGTTCGTGAAGATAAAGCGGTAGGTTTGAAAACAGATTTATTTGCAAACCGTGAGTGAAGTCACTTGCTTCAAATCAGCGTCCGATTGTTTGGAGTTTTACCCCGCATAATTTAATTCAGTGACTCTTATTTTACAGAAAAATACACCCCAAAAAGGAAAAAATTAACGATACGACGCTACCTGTGACACCAGGCGACCACACAATACAAGAATCAGTGTCGGATTCGGTAACGCATAAATAGTTTTTATTTTGAAACGTTCGTTTTTATGAGTTGAAAAAAGAGTGAAATACGAGTGATTTACTCGTTTTATGCTCATTTAAATCGTAGACTCCAGTTTTAGACCGAGAGTTCATACGTCAGTAGCTGCTGCATCTTAGTAGTTTCAACTCTTCTGTTTAGACGTTTTGCTATTTACTAATTTTAACGTCACATTTTCCGTCATTCACAAGCCTTTGGACAGAAGTTTCTCACAGTGAGTTGCAGCTAGTTTTATAAAGATTCTGATTAACGTGTGAGGGCTTTTGTTTGTGATTGACCAGTGTCTGCTCTATAAGTGGTTCGCTTCATTTTGACCTTAATGTATATTCTGTTATTTGAAAATAAAGCATTGAAGATGATTTTTCCTTATTTGATGTGACAATATGATCATGGTTTATTGACCTGAACGTTGTTTTTTTCTGGAGGTTTTTGACGCAAGTGCTGAGGAAGAATAAAATTAAAGAGATGTCGCGGTTTTCTGCATAGGTTTGATCATAAATATTGCTTCTTCGACACATGCACGGAAAGTTTTCATCAAGTAATAGAGATGCGGATCTAAACGAGGACAGACGACTAGTTATTCACATTCCAAGGGAATTGCGCACCCAAAAATAGTCTTCAATTTTCTCTTATTTGGTTGTCCTTGTTTTTATATCTCAATTAATTAAGTCAGCATAGCCAATTTTTTGTTAGACGCCCTGCTCAAATACTGTTACTATATTGAAGTTGGTTTTTGTGCCACCATTTGCACAGATTATTTGAACACTTTAAGCACTTCTGAGTGTCAGAGTTTTGAGCGCTATTTCTTTTTATTTACGCCGTGACTTTTCCATTTCAAATAAAGTAGTGCTTGCTCAAGTACTGTCACGATGAAAGAAAAATTGACTTTGCAGACAAATTCTTTAAAATCAATAGCTTATGCCTTAAGAGATAAACGACCAAAAGTTATTTTTGCAAATAACGCTTCCTGGTGAGGTGTTGACGGCATGGATTGTAGAGCTTTCAAGCATACGCGCTTTCATGCACCTTAACAACATCTTGGTAATTGTGAGGGCAATGTATTCTCGGAGACAATATCACCCGATTTTTTATTCTAGGACCTTACCGGTACGTCCAGTGAGACCAAGAGATGGCTCGTTTATGACCTATCCTCATGCAATTGTAAAGTTCAATTTCAAGGCTGAGCAGCCGGACGAATTAACCGCCACAGTATGTATAATATTGTGCGCAGACAGATGCTTTTGTCTTTTTAACTTTGAAAAAAATAGTTTACGAATATTTGGTTGTTTATGTTAAAATCATAAGGGTGAAATAAAAAATCCCCATTAACTGGAATAAATTTCGGTATATTTGTTTATCTCAAGTCAGTTTAATAGCCGGCGTTCAGGCGCATCTATGGCAAACACGGAAGGCTTGCCATCTTATTCTTTCCCAATGGACAAGTTAAACTGATATTTGACTCACATGACATAATTTTCAGCCACAAGACTAGCCTCTCTAGAGAGATTTTAGTTCTTTGCCAATCTCTAACAATCATTTTTAAGGTAGTATCCGGCCGTCCTAAATCACCTTTTTTAAAAATTCAAGGAAATGGAATACTAGGAGATGAAATTGAGTCCGAAATGCAGTTTTCAGACCTTTACATAATCAAAACTAAGCCTTTGGACATGAATTTG